ATCCTGTGTACAACTTTCCCTATATTTTCTCACTACCTTTCCCTTCCCACACACCACATATAAATCAAAAATACATCATGCGGTTTGAGGTGGATTACTTTCTATACAAAATAGAAATCGTATTCGCAAGAGTTAGACGTGTGATATCCCCTTCGTCCCCATCGCTGGTAAAAGCATAAAGCTGCTCCAGATGATCCCGGCATGGCCTCAGGGCGGCCCGCCCTTTCGGACATTCCGAAATATGGTACACTAACCTAGCTAGGAAGACAAGCACATCCCGCTCCACTTCTTGCCCGATCGCGTAGAGAACGGCCTCCAAAAGCGGAGGCCAATCCGACGCCTGGATCTTCGCCGCCTCTAAGATCGTAATCTGCGCGAGCGCGGCTGTCACCGCAACCCGAACAAGCAAATCGCCGTGCGAGAGGTGTGGAAAGAGCGCGCTCATCGTTTCATAGCGCACCGCTGCATGGCGGCAGGGTGCGGACTCGCAGCCACGCGAGAGCACCTCCGCGGCGGCCGCGAGAAGCATCGCGTCGTCGTCGGCCGCCGCGCGTAGGGTATCGGTCAAAATGACCACCCCCTCCAGCCTCGAAAACCGAGCGAAGGTCTCCGCCACATCGAACATCTTCGTCAGCTCATTACACGCCACCGCCCGCACGGTCGCATTTGGAGAAGAGCAAATGAGCTCGATCATCAGCTCCACCCCGCTGAGCTCCATCACGAGGAGTTCGGTAAGGAAAAAGTGGTTAAAATGTGCATGGCAGGCGGCAAGCGCGCGCAGGGAGAGCACCACAACCCCATCGCAGCCATCCTTCGTCGCGGCGATTAACCCGGAAAGGTAGGTTCGCCAAGTCTCGTGGTCGGCGGAGCGCTGCGTGGCTGGCTCGCGCAGCAGCATCGCCAAAGCAGAGGCGGCCAAGCTACGGAGCTCCTCCACCGGATCCCCCCCAACCATCTGAATCAGCAACGGCAGCATGCCGTAGTCCAGACTCCGCACGCCGTGCACGCGGTCCTCGGTGTAGAGCTCTATGAGATGTTTTATGGCCTGTAGTCGCATCCCGGGCTCCTCCTCGAGGAGCCACCGCGCGACCTTGTCGTAGTCCAAGTCCCCATAGGCCCGTGTGTAGATCTTAGGGTCGATCCAAGGCGTAAAAGGACGGGTTTCGTGGGTCACAATGACCCGTTGGTGACGCGCACGACGTTCAGCCAGGGGCTGTGCCGCATACGCGGAGACATTTGGGGACAGCCCCTGAGCCTTCCGAATCACAGACCACATTCACACCCCTGTGACAAGTTGACTTGTTCGTGGGATGGGACAAACTAACAAAGAAAAAAGAAAAACGCGCAACACGCGAAAGAGACTCCTCCCCACACCACACCACCCCCTGGGTTTGTTTGAGTCAAGGGTTGGGGGTACAGTCGGAACGGTTCGAGACGATACCCTAATATAGACCGAATCCCACACACAAGGGAGCAAAGGAGAGGAGAAAAGAGGAAAAGGAGGTTTAGAGTTCACGCAGGGCACGGGGCAACTCCAATGAACGGGGGCGTGTGATTGGGAGATTAATTTCCGGACGGAAAGTTTGAATATGATGGAGATGTTGTTGTTTTTTAGATCACTATTTCTAAATAAAACGACGAGCAATGAAGCAACAATTAATAGGATAATTTACACTTCAGGTCTTATATAAATAACGTCATATTTCCGTAACAAGGGGTTGCAGACGCAAGATCAGATTTCTCAAACTCGCTGAGACCTACAGCACAAATTGAATTAAAAATTTTAAATACGAGACCACGCAAGGGGATCGCTCCTTTTTAATTTTTTAGGCTATGCGTTAAAAGGCTTATGAACTCCATTAAAACAATGATTACAGAGTGCAATCATTCTTACGCTTATACTCATTCAACACCCTCTATTTTCCTACTTGTGAAAAGTTGAGAGATGCCTCCAACCCGCCTAGAAACTTAAAGGTTAAACGATATACTCCGTGCTTTCTGTCGAACAGGATATATATATATATATATGTATATATATATATATATATACATATATGTATAGTGTTTCACATTGACTGCTGTTTAAGCTTTTGTAATTCTTCTTCCCGCGCTCGTCGCGCCAACTCCCTCATCCGCTCACACGTCTCCCTGTGAGTTAAGAAGTATTTTGGCGGGATATCTTTCAAAATACGCTGAATCTCTGTCTCGCTCAGAGAACCTTCATACATACGACGCACAATTTTTTCGACAGGAATTCGCACATCTTGATATTTTTCCTCGATAATACGAAGCTGAGTAGCATAATTCGGATCCATATACGGCATGGTCTCTTCGTTACGTACCTTAGCAGGTGAATTTACCTTCCCAACTCCAAGTGGTGCTCCTACGGATGACCCACAACCTTCTTTTTCCGCGTTATTTTCACCGTTTTGCAGTTCCTGCTCGTTTTTGCGCCTCTCCAACTCTGCCGTGTATATACTGTAGCGATGCTTCACGCCGGCACCACGATCGGGAAGACGTTCCAACAGTGCCTCCTGGCGCATAAGGCGCTCACAACGCTCAATATGTGCTCTAAGCTCCGCGGTTTGCATTATGCTGGTATCTGGCAGCTTTTCCTGCGGTGAAGCGGATGCTGAATTAGACACCCCTGACATTTTTCCTCCGTCACCTACCTTACCCTCTGTCTAATTTGTGCTAATACTTTGTGAAGATGATGTTAGAATGTGGATACAAATGTCTGTACATATTGGTTGAAAGGGAATTTCTCCCCCTGCATAGTGCATCAGTGGCTAACATTATTATCAAAAAATCAAATAATGCGTTTAGGGATCGTGACAAGCCAAGAGACTTGTTTACACTTTCATAGATATCTTCAAGGTTATGAAAGGGGATGTGCAAGGGCAGGAGTAATGATAGCACCTTCAGGAAACGATTCTCGCTATCAAATAGGCAGTAGTCACGATAAATTGACCATGTGGAAGACCCCTGGAGCGTTTCATGTACATACTAAAAAAGAATTCTCCTTTTCCAACCAGTGGCACCTCGTTTAAAGCACAGATTTCTTCCTCTTCCTGATGCAAGAAAACAGCGCAAAAACATAGGTACTCTTATCATAGAGCAAAAATGGCTTCTGCTATACGAAAAATACCCCCCCCCCCCCCCCTCTACATCCTCCCCACCTTCCACGCGCATACGAAGACCACACGACCGCAACGAAATAACTTTTATAGGAGATCAAAAGGGAAAAAGTTTCTTGCTATTACTCGTGATAATCTCCGCAAGGGCCTCAATTGATGGAACGTCATCACGACGTAGCTCATAAAGCACCTCCAGCACGCGCACGAGCTGGCAGGGCTCGCAGCGTCCCTTCACGAGCGCACCCGTCGTATATTTATCTTTTCGACAGATCGTAAACTCGGAAAGCATGGAATCGGAAACACACTGTCCGCCTTCTTTATTCTTCCCACACTCCTTCAACAGAGCGTAGGAAGCGTGGGTGGTGGTTAAACCGCACCATGGCGCGTCGGTCTCAATCAAAAGTCGTTCGAGAGGTATACGTTTCACCGTTTCCAAGTTATCTCGCGTCTTAAGGCTACAGCCATTGATACCGATGTAGAAACCGAGCTGAAGATACGATTCTAAATCTTTCTGTGTGCCTGTAAAACTGTGCACCACGCCTCTAGTGGTAGGAGTGCGACTCTCATAGACGATTTTGTATAGATCCCCCCCGGTGTTTCGCTCATGAAGAAAAAGCGGCAACCCGTGGCGCTCCGCCAATTCGAGCTGCTTTACAAAATACTTCAACTGAGTCTCTTTCGCAGTGAAGAAGGTTCGATCGTAGTCCAAACCAATCTCGCCAATTGCTGCTACGCATCCGCCGCGAGTCACACTATGTTTCGCAACAAGCTCGTCCAGCGCGTTGAAGTAGGCATCTGGATCCGCTTCAAATTCACTGCAGTGTGTGGGGTGGCAGCCTACAGTACATAAGCACTTCAAAGCAGCCGTGGAATACTGTTCACACATTTGAATTACCTTCTTGCTATTCTTGAGGCTGGAGCCATCCAATAGCATTCCATGAACACCCACCTTCTCAGCACGGCTTAGTACGTCTGTTATATCACTTTTATGATGTTGACGACCATTATACCAACCCTGAAACATTTCATCGGTAAGGTTGACGCAAGTGTCAATAAGAGACCATCTACTACTCAATGCAAGGGACATCTAATACTTTAGTCACTCTTTAAATATGTTGATGCTTCCTAGGGTTTGTCATCGTTGAAGCGAGAAAAAAAGGTACGTAAAAAGATTAAGGTAAATGTAAAGAATGCGAAGCCAGACTTTGAATCCTTCGCTATTTATCTCCCTCGCAATAAATACCTTCGTGATCATCACCTTCAAATCACATATCCTAAATGATAGCAGAGAGTTGAAATTGGGTACTTGTTCATGATGAGCAAAACTGCGTGGCTCTCATCCTTCATATTGTTTTCCCCTAATAATTTGTGATGCGGGCTTCCCGAAAGGAAGCCTGTTACGTCCTTTTCAGTGAGGTGGACCATGGACATATACACAAGAGTCACTCCTGAGAACTCTGATGTTTGGCTGAACAACACGATATTGCATCATAATATGCGACTCTAAAGTCCAAAACAAAACATGCCACATCCTCAGTAGACGCAAAAATAATCAATGACGGGCAAGCGGAAACGGATAAAATCATGGTAACTGACAAAAAATGAA